ATTACACTAGACGGCTTTTCCACTGAGGTTCTTTAGTTTCTTTATTCCTCAGATTTCTAGTTTGATTCACAGACATTCAGTCGGCTGACGTCAGAAATAATGACGCACTTTATTTATGTTAATATTGTTCACAGAGTTATGACTCTGAGAAGTAAGACTTTTGGCATAAACTACAGTGATCTGGTTGAAGGCTCCTAATTGCCTCCATGAGTTGTTTCACAGCTGCACATCCAGTTTTTGGATAAATGATGCTTGAATCAGTGTGTACCGCAGTGCACCGTGTGTGTGTAAAAGAGTCATCACCCAAAGTGATCAGAGTAGAAGTTGTTTTTCAGTAGCAGAATGAAGCTCTTTCCCTCAGCCTCACCTCTCAGTAAAACTAATGATGTGGATCCAAAGTTAATATCCTGCATCGGGCCTCTGAGGCTCCCACGCTCCCTCTCTGTTTGCTGCAGAGTGCCGACAGTCGTCAGGCAGATTGGTACAAATAAATCCTGGATTTATTCACTTACTGAAGCAGCTTCAGCGCCTACAACGCCTCGGAGCGAGCGTACTTACGTCTGAACACCCGACACCGAGCACCATGGGCATCTCCCCTCATGTCTCTGCATCTCCCGCCCATCTTTTTCATTTTGATAGAAGGTTTTATGATGATAGCAGCTCTACATATGATGTCAACAACAAAACAGCATCTGTCCCTGCAGTCAGACCATCACTGCTGTTGCCTGCAGAATAGCCACCTGTTAAACCATCGTGAAGCAGACCAGAGATTTTTGTGTCCTGAATATGAAAATGTCTCCTTCCAACACTGTGGCCCCAATGACAGCCCTGTTGAAGCTAAAACTGAATTTTAAGCATCACTTGTCGATTTGGCCAGTTTGTAAGTACAAAAAGTAAGAATCTGATGATAAGTAAAAGACATTATAGAACTTACAGGGAAAGTTTCATGTAGAGACTTAATTCAAAATAAGTCTCAATGTGAAGAAAAGTAATAAAGCCACTTAAAGCTGGTGTTAAACAGGTGGAAAGTTTCAAACAGATCAATGCAAACAGGTTGGAATATAGGTGGAAGGATTCCGTTTTTGGAGACCATGAACTTTTCTAATCTAATACACAGTTGTTGTTATGATATCTTAACTGTCATAAAGTGAATGTACAAACTTGACTGGACATGCATGTCTTTGGACTGGAGCAGGAAGCTCGAAAATCTTGAGAAAACTCTTGCAGCAACACAGAGAGCATGCAAACTCCAGGAAGAATCATCTGTCCCAGGAAGATTAATCCTGATGTCCCTCTAGCAGGTCCGGTTCCACTTCTATGTGACAAATTAGTATCAAGGTTTGCACAGATGTAACTAATGAAGAACAAAGTGCTTTAGTGATCCGCGGCCTCATTAGGACAGGAAGTTGTGTCAGAATGTGAGCATGGAGCATAAGCTTTATACTGATCATCTGCAATTAAGCCACAAAGCATCTCGCGCCACTTAATGCAAAAGTAATGCAAGAACTTATAAATGACAAGTCACGTGTAATGCATTTCTTTTCTTGAATAAACATCCCAACACATGGCAGATATTTGGAGGGATTAGAAAACACAAAGTGTCGTGTATGGATTTAACACGATCAGTATCTCTGCTTCTAGCGCGTTCTCATCCCTCGGGTATTAATTAACGCAGTTGTGTCGCTGTCGTGTCTCTGTGGAGCACAGGGTGTCCTTTAGCTCCTGTGCCTTGACACAGTAGGTTATGAGATCAGTGCGAGGGGTCTGTCCTGGTCCTGTATGGGTTATTGTTGTGAGCTGTGTGACCCAAGCCACAATCTTCTCGTAAACCTAACTGCAGTTTTCAGAAACCTGAAAACTAGAACAACTTCACAGCACCTAAATGTAACCACTATTATATGAAATATAAATAAATAAACCATTTGAGTCCTTTGACCAGACCTAACTAGTCCTGATCTTTGTCACGTATACCCCCAACCATTCATTTTCAAGTGCAGGATGATTCTTAAACCCAAACCACAATCTCTTCCTCAAGTCCATCAAGTACTTGTTAGTGCTTCAGTCTAACAAAGTTCTTTTCAGCTGCTAA